TCCCCCGGAGGATTTTGTGCGCTCACCACGACCAACTGCCTATTACCAGAGACACCATTCTGATCACCAGCACCTCCAGATCCCAAAGCACCTTGATTCGACCCCCCATCCATCGTGGCGCCCACCTCCTTCGCTTTGTCTGTCAAACCACCTGATCCTCCCTGGTTTAGCACACGCCCCTCAACTTCTGATGGTGGTACCAGGGTTACACTTGGGCCCAACATCGTCTCTTTGGGGGTGACAGGCAATGGTGACCATCCTGGCGGGAGGGCCTGTCCCGAAGGCCCTCCGATCCCACTTCTCATCCATCTCCTTAGTCAAGCTCTTCTTCGAATTATCTCTTGCCATGATCCTTGTTCTATTCTTTTTTGGTGAGAAAAAACAGCCTTTAATGCTCCGATAGAAGACTGATTTTCCCCCACAGAGGCGCCAATTTGTTATACTACAAATACCTAGACCGTTGGACCGCTCCTTTTCAAACCGGGCTGCGTTTCACTGATCGTCGGTACCTGCAAAACACGCTGGGGGTGGTCCCAGCGCGAACACTCTGACGCTCAAGTTAGTGGTGGTCCGAAGAAAAAACAGCAGAGTAACGAGAGAATTTGTATGTATATCTTGTTTAGAATGAATGAACTTGTGCCCTTTTATAGATGAGGTCATGTAGTAGTTGAAGAGTTCTTATCATACTAGGGGTCTTCCCATTAGATTAGGTCAAAATCCTAATAATCCTTGAGGTTGTTAACCTCTTCATGACTTGAGCACGATACCCCCTCCGGGCTTTGGTCCCCTCAGAGGGACGTCCAACTACCTAGGTGCCAAGGTGCCTGCCTAGCTCACGCTAAGCTAGCCTCCGCCTACCACCCATGTACTTCAACGGTACCATGGGTTGTGCCTACCAGAGCCTCCGCCTACCAGAACCTTTGCCTACCAGAGCATCCGCCTACCACCCATGTAACCTAAAGGTACCATGGACTACGCCTACCAGATTGAACCACACAGCTGAGTACGACTAGAACCTGGGTCACAACCGGTCTTTCATGAGCCGCTACTAACGACCACATCAAAACCTATAGAATGTTGTCCTTACGATTTGAGCTTGTTCGAAAAAAGTAACTCCCTAAATAAATCTAATTGAAAAAGAAACAAGAGAAAAAGGTTGAGTAATGAAGTTGCAACTTGATTAGAGCGTTTAAGTGTTGTATGTGGTGTTGATTTTGGATGGTATGTGTGCCATCTTGTTGATTTTTGATGAGTAGCAGATCCTTGAGTGGATTATTTTCTCAAGCATTGTGATTGTCTATTTGAGCTTCTTGTCCCGCATATATATCCTTACCGTAGCCAAAAAGTCTGCATTACAACCCGTGGAGTCTTCTTGATTCGCTAGTTTTTTAAATTGGTTAATTTTGAGTAATATTAGACTATAGACAAGCATATGTTGAATCTTGAATATCAATCAATCTGATTGTACCCTTCATATAATTAAGCAAAAGAATGAGTGAGTCATATACTAATATTTATGTGTATGAGAGTTTGTCATTTCAAGGCTAAGTTGATATTTGAGGCATATGGCCTTATGGTCGTTGGAATTCGACCTAGTTGAATTGAAAATTTTGAAAATGTTCTTATGTGAAACCATTACCCATGCTCGTCTTGTTTTCTTTTTATTCGGGACGAACAAAGATTTAAGTGTCGGGGAGTTGTTTGTCCCATTTTTATTGTATTTTTCGTGTTTGTTTTGCCTTTCTTTTTCCCCCGATTAAGATATTCTCCTTGGTTTTTAGTTAGTTTTGTATTTTGTTGCGTGTTTTTTTTTATTTTGGGTTTTTCTGTGTTTTCGTTTGTGTTTCTTTGTATTTTCGTATTCTTGTAATTTTTAGTGTGCAGGTCGAGAGCTTCAGGTGGATATGATTTCAAGAATAAGTTGTTCATGCAAGCATAATTAACCAGAAGGGTTCGTTGGCGATGCATAGGAAAAAATGACACTCAATACCAAGTTCGGACGAGCTTAAACAACCCGAAATGCAAAGTCGCG